ATTTATTAAGCTTAGTGACTAAGATGTATTTTAGTCCAAAAAAATATGAAATTTTGAGCAGACTAAAGACACAGCCTACCTCATTGAAATCTTGGTACAAAAGAAAGTAATGGTGCTAGTCACGTTAGAAAGGCTGAGAAAACTACTAAGGGGACATTCTGAGCTTCCGATTGGTTATTCATGTCATATATAGAAGTAAGTGTACATAAGGGAGCATTTCCAAAAATGGAAAGAGGTGGGTGGGGTGCCACTATTTTTGATTTATTACATGAGCAATATCTTAGCAAATAGAAAAGATAAGACTTTCTTATTTTATATTCTAGCTGGTCAATATCTGTAATTTGAATTTCTAATTCATACAAAATTGTAGACTTAGTATTTTGACTTCACAAAAGTCTAATTTGAACCAGTGCTGTGTTCAACATACCATGTGACACACAAAAAATTGATGTTTATCTTTTTTTTGTAAGTATTTACTTTTAAATTAACAAATTGAGTAATGCATAGGTCTAAAATTTGAATTATAATCTAGAGTTTGATACCAAACTTATTGACATAAATTCATGAAATAGTTGTTCAATAAAATTTTGAATGCGAGTCAACAAACGAGATGATATGGCCTATCACCTGTGACCTGTCTTGAAAGGGTTAAATTTTATTGTTTTATTGCCCTTTTGATTACCCTTTGCCCGTGTATAATTACCATCCTCGCCATTATAAGTTATAAATCACTCGGGGAATCTGCAGCTTACGTTACACTATCGAATTACATTACCCACGAGCTACTTCAAGCTGTTTGTGTGCATGCCTTGTGAAGCATTTTTATTATATCATTGTTATTTATTTTACCTAATCTAATCTTAACTAACCTAAAAAAGATCCCTATTTTTACATTTTAGTTACTTTTATAACACTTAACCCTAGTTTTTTATACTAATGGTAGTAATGTAGTAAATAATTTTTATTTAATTAAACAATGCACCAAAGAACACAGTCTAATAACATACGAAAAGTAGACAATTTCCCCTAACTCTAAGTTTTTCTGGCTTACTAACTATGCGACAACAGCCATTACAAGTTCATCCAAGCTAGTTAGCTTTCCTACTGGAATGGAGCTTGTACTCTGAGTGAAATTGACGATTATCTGTTCAAAACACGTTATATAATAAATTATTTGATAGATGAAAACTTTGACTTTCTATTTGTTATAGGTAATATATAATTAAAGGTAAGAGAGAACTATTAACAAATCCTGAAAGAGAAGATGTGACAGGGGTGGTGGATAAAAATAGAGAAGATGCCTAGAGAAAATGTGTCACGTGTGTCACACTAGGAAAAATTCAGGATTTTTTTAATATTGTCTTGTAGAATTAATAACTTAAAACGTATATACTATTAAAATATGGATTATTAGCTAAGATTTTATGCTAAGAAACTAAAACTTTGTCATGCATTATAAAGGATACCTGTGGTGATAGGGTTAATTATTCCATTAAAGGTTAGTCTAAACCTATTATTTTGTCTTCTTGTTTTTCAGAAATATTGGCATGCACATACACACACACAAAGGAACAAATCAGTTTTTACATGTTATTTGTTAATCCAAATGATCTATTTGTTTATTACAGCTTTTTATTTTCTGTAGGATGTTTGTTTGGCCACATTACAGTAACTATTTAATTTAAGAATGTTGATAAGTTCTGTTTGTATTGTAGGTGTGGCTCATGATGGGAGTGAACAAACAGATGGAGAGGAGCAAATTAATGAAGTACGGTATCACTTAGTATTAGTATGTGTAGAAAAGAATTAGTAACTTTTGGTCAGTAGTAACATACGTGCATGCAGAATAGATAGCTTAATATTCAAATGAGCCAGACATAGATTAAGTACCTAATAATTTTGCTATTATATTTATTCTCTATCTCATTTAATTTCTTTTTGATTTGTTTTATTGTTAAAACTGTTCTGTATTTGAATTTCAGATGTTGAGCAAAACTAACTGACAACTGTCTAAAATACATTTATGAGCCAACAGTGAACACTTTTAACATTTAAAGAAGTTCTTGTATTAAGATTATTAATGTGCCCATTTCCTCATGAACCAACAGTAATTATTTTTAACCATATATAGAAACTTCTTGTATTAAGAATATTGTTGAGTTGTGTGTTCATTGTGAACCAACAGTGTTCAGTTGTAACAATATATAATAGTTCTTGTATTAAGAAAGTTAACAACATGCCCATTTTTCACCCACCAGCAATGATCAATTTTAACAATATAGAATAGTTCTTGTTTCATACAGAATTAATTTTACTCAGTTACAGATGAGATAAACAGGAACATTTTTAATCCATTACATGATTTGTCCAAGATAATTTGGGTGCCCTCCATGTTTCAAAAAATTTTGCCCAAATTAACTGGGGCAAACCATTTCTCGCTATATTTTTATTATTTACTTGAATTTATATGCATGTTATCGTGTATTACAATCTGTGCTGATCTCTATTGGATTTATTCTGAATTATGTATGTTGAACACTACAGAAAACATTCCTATTCTCTACTGTAGTTTCATTGGAATAATACGTATCACAGAAAAACCAAGATACGTAACATTTTCTTATCGAGTATGTTTTGTGTAGAAATGTAATAAATGATGCGAGAACTTTTGCTTCATTAGTATATAAGCTAAGAATAAGCAAAATAAAAAAAAAACTGTATTTTGTTTTTTTAAGCTCATTTCTAAAAAAACTGGCATCATACTTTTTAAAAATCAACTATGTAACAATATTCTGTAAATAAATTATTCTCCAATGTGAATAGAAATGTTTGATAATTTCCAGTTCAAAAAATAAATTGTATGAAGCAAAGAATGATAATAATCTCATAAAATTTCTGTAAAAACACATTAGTAATGAGGATTAATTGTTTTCAAAATTTCATGCAAAAATCTATACTCTCTATAGGATGTCAGCCACATGTATCAGATTTTCATGGATGAAATCCTTGGGTCAGGACAGTTTGGTGTGGTGTATGGAGGTAAGAATGTAATATTTGCTGTTTGTTTATTTTCTGTTCTTTATTGAATTGATGCAGCAATGCTATAAAGTTTTGTTAATTTTTCATATATAACCAAAACATCAATAAGGTGGATACAAATAAGAAAATACTGGAATATCATACTTTTTTCCCCTTTCTTATTTTAATTTCTTCTACCAGTTCTGCAACTTCAAAGGTCACTCTTCAGGAAATAGTTTTATTGAGAATTTATAACAAAAAACATACAAATACTGCTTTTCAACTAAACATAAATAATCTAAATTAAATACATGTACTTTCCATATGTTCAAACATATAATACAGTTCATGTATAAATTAGATACATTACAAATGTTACAAAAAGAAATAAAATTAGTCAATATACTTTTCTTTTTAAATTAAAATCTTATTCTAATTATATTTTTATTTATTATTATAATAATAGAAATGTAATTTATTTATCCTATAATTTCTTTTCTGTAAGTCTTAGTAACTGTTTTCATAATTTCCAATTTCCTACTGATTTACACAACTAGTTACCAGACAAAAGAGTCATTACTAATATCACTTGATTTTTTTCCTTCTCACAGTGGTAGTATATAACAAATAACAAAAACTTACTGAGGAGCTTCCAGTTTAGAATTTACAAAATTATTATAAAAAGTACTTCCCATCACCTTAGAATTTAAATTTTTTCTTTATTGTCAATCAAAAGGTTCCATTTTATATATCCAGTCAGTTTCAGTTTGATATTCTTTAACATATTTCTTTTGATACTTTATTGTACAAATTGCAGTCGTCATCACTTACAGCTATAAATCTTAAAAAAAAACATTGCAAAAACGGAAAAAGATCTATCAGTGACTTAGAAATTGACCTTTCAAAATAGTGTCACCATTATCATTGTCAAGCCAAGTGTTCAGATTTCTGCTATCAATAGTTTGAGATAAATTTATATCAAATATGTTTTTTTTTTCAATAAATAATAAATTATTTTATTTATGTGCATTGTATGAACACGATAAACTTAACTCTCTAAACCTGAGCAGATACTACCAGTGTCCGTCCAAAAATCCTGTTTTACCCGTAGGACAGAGACAGTGTCTGATAACATTTGTCTTTTTAGGCAGAAAACTTATCCAAACCATGTTATTATCCACCTTTTATAAATAGACCAAAGTTTTTTAAGTTATGGTGATAATTATTAGGACATCAGGAAAATAATTCCTCCAGGAGACGTAAAAAATTATGGGTTTAAAGAGTTAACAACAATAATCAATATATAAGGCTTTGGGTCATCAAAATGTTTATCAACACCTACAGTACTTGCTAAATCTAACTAAGCATACCTAATGTTTATAGAAGAAAATTTCTGTAGCTTACAAACAGATGTATAGCCCTTTAACTACGGGCTAGGACCCAGGGACCGACCTCGTAACCATTTTGTGCTTGTTATAGCTTTCATACTATAACTTTTAATACAGTATGTGTATCTTCACAAAATTAGGCAGATTATCATTAAACATAATGAGGTTTTCTTACACAAAATATCAGATTCTTTAATTAAAGATTTATTCGTGCATTTTCTTTTCGAATGTTAACTATTCCACATGTACAGTGATTCTGATGTTAAGATTAAAAATACCTTTATGCATCAGTAAATTGTCAAATTTCATTTGCAAAATCTCTATAACCTCCTAATAAAATCTAGATAAGTATCAAACTTTTTAAAAAAAAATATATATATATATATATATATTATTTGTTTTCTGTCTTATCTCTGTACTGGTTTGGTCGAATTGACTGACCTCATAGCCACCATAAAAAATTATAAAATATGATTTAAGTTGCACTTTTCTCGTTCTAGAATGGCTACAAATTGTAACATGAAACCACAAATGTTTATTCTAAATAGTTTAAATCTTGTAACATTATACATCTACTTATATTTATTATTTTTGTTATTGACCTTTCAGATGTGTCTGACTAACATTACAGAAGTTGCAATGACGTGGTGCATGTGCACTCATGTTACCCTATCCAATAGTATAAAACTGGCCTTTACGAAGTGCAGCTTTATTCTACTGGACCAGTATTTTGTAAAATACGGTCACATTTCGGTTATAATACATTACACATTACATATGTGTATATATACATATTATAACTATTTACAAACAAATTCTTATATTTCAGTCATTTTTCTTCAAACAAAGAACAATAAATAAAGAATTATAGAAAACATTGATCTCTACTACTTATGATTATAAAGAACTTTGTACTCCCTTGTTGTACGTTGCATGCTAAGGCTTGCCAAATTTTGCACGTGGAGGATGTAAAACAAAATTACCTTTTTAGGTTTTTTTATATCCATTTTTGAATAACAAAAAATTATAAATTACTCTACCAACATCACAGAATTCCACTGTAATTTATCAGGCTTACTAACTAAGCTTTATTTTGGTTTTAAAGTATTGTTTTTGAACATAATTTTTTCTTGCCCCTTCCTTCCGAAATTGTGAATAAAAAGATTAATCTTGGGAATAGACATCTTGAATAAGGTGAAAAAACCACGTGGGGGAAATTCTAAGCTTTTGATTGGTTATACACATATGATAGAGCAAAGTATAAGCAATTATTTCCAAAAATGGAAGAGGTGGGTGGGGCCACTATGTTTAATTCACTAAATATACTCATACATCAGTAAATAGAAAATATAGAAGGGCCTTATTTTATATTATAGCTTGTCAATATTGATAACTTGAATTTCTAATTCGTAAGAAACTATAGACTTTGTATTTGAACATCACAAACATCTAATTTGAACCAAAGCTGCATTCAACATACCACGTGACATACAAAAATCAATATTTAGGAAATTAACTAATATATAATACTAAAATTTGAACTATAATCTACAACTTGATACCAAACTAATTGACATAAATTTGTAAAATAGTAGTTCAATAAAATTTTAAATGTTAGTCTATAAACATATCATGCCCTTTGACCCCTGACCATAGGAAAACTCGTAGCAATAGGGTTAACACAAAACATTTTCAGATCTGTGCCTGTCCAGGTCTTCTAAACTGGCCATTAGATTCTTTGTTTACCTTTATAGGAGCTCTGGCTAGTCTCTTTCTTGAAGAACTATAAATTACTGCTAAAACTACTTTATTTACTTTACACTGATGTAAGTAGTTTATAATCAGCTCTATACAATCATGTCATTAGTTGTTTTCATTATTAATTGTACAAACCATATGTCATGACATCATAAAATGGTGACAATGGAGGGTTGTAGTAATGAAAACCACTAAAAGAGAAAATAAATCATATGAAAAAAAAAAGACATGGCAATTTTATTCCCAAGGGTTAGTAGTTTCTTAGCAAATAGAATAGAAACCTTTACTTTGGGATTGACTAAAAAATTCTAAAAAAATAAATGTATTGTTTACAAGTGAGACTCCTCGTAGCTGTGTAAACATGAAAGAATATTTTTCTTATTATTTTACTTGTGCAGTACATTAATAAATGTTACAAAATTTCAAAACATCAATTCTAAAATATTTTTGAGTTAATAATTATTGAAATACAGTTAGTATTTTGAACTTCAGTATTCAAGTGTCTAAAAGGTGCTCACCAGTCTAGACTGGGTTAATGCCTAGCATGTCCTGATTGTTAAGGTATTTGACTCGCAATCAAATCCATTTCCCTGAAGATGCTCGTCCTATATGGTTGCCGTCTGGGCTTAGCCACTTAGGTGTAAAAATTCTTGGCCTTCAAAATTACTGGCCGACCCCAAACTATTTGGGATTAAAGTCATTATGAAGAAGAAGTTAAGATAACTTGCCTATTCAGTTTAGCACTATTGATTTCTGTTTCATCAGTTATGAATCATTATGTATAAAGAAGAAAAAATCTTTTTGATTTGTTAAGGAGATATTAACCCAGTATGGCACCAAAAGGATAATAAAATTTAGTTGGCAACATTTTTGTCCAGTATAACTCGGAAACTACCTTCCTCGGCTTAACAATGTAGTTCAGTAGTTTAAATGTAATTTGTTTGATTATCATTTAGTCAGCAGTGAAGTTCATTTGTTCATTACTCTATCCTAGCTTTGATATGTGGAAATGTTACATAAATACAGAAAGGAAGGGACAACATAGTGTATAGATCACGTTATGGTCTGCAGAGATAAGAAAGAATAATCAGATGGTCTATGAATAAAAAATAAATTTTGAGAACCACTGCTCTATCCCATGCTTCCAGTGATCTTGTAAGTGTCTTTTAAATGTGCAGAAATTAGCTAGTTGTGTATTTCAGTTGTCACGTGATTCACTTTGTAAGTTTCTATCTGCCAGGTCATATAGATGGATATATTGTACGTAATGTTTCTATATGTAATACTTATGCAGGTGTCCATCGGACAAGTGCCCGTTCTGTGGCTGTGAAGGTAATAAATAAAACTAGGCTGCCTGCCAAACAGGAAGCTTATTTGAAGAATGAAGTGACCATTCTACAGAACATACATCACCCTGGAGTAGTCAATCTGGAGAAGATGTTTGAAACACCTGAAACGGTAAATTCTGATACGGGTCTTACTTCCTCTCACACAAAGTAATCTCGATCTTCTTCTGTCCTCCAAACATTGCTTAAAAGTTTTTACAATCAGCACACCAGTCTATATACCCTATTAGTTTCATGCCATTTCTGAACATGTACATATCATATGACTAATCTCCACCAAAAGTATTGCGTCACCTATATTGGCACAGCTAGCTCCCTCTGCTATTCCTGCTCAATCTTTTGCATTTGGCACAGCATTGTTCAGACATGTGTTGTTTTTTTTTTTTGCATGTGGCTGCTGTTTATTAATATGCTTCATTAACATTTCAATTTTTTTCAACAGTGGACACTCCTAGATCAGTGGAACTTCTCGGATCCCTGGCTTTATTGTTAGACAGAGACCAGACCATAGCATGGTGCTGCTTATTCCACCTCGTCCGGATTTACATTTGTTCACGGGCTCATCTTTAGAGGGTTGGGGTTCTTACCTCGCCTCCTGTGAGATTTCTGGTCTCTAGTTGATCAAGGAGTCTTCTCTCCATATCATCTTTTTCGAGCAATTGGCAGTTCGTCAAGCTTTGTCCCACTTCCTTCCTTTCCTATGGGAGATGGTGGTTATGGTACATTCCAACATCTCTACAGTGGTCACTTATATCACAGAGCCAGGGGGTACCAAATCCAGGTCTCTGTGCTTTCAGATTCTGGATCTCCTTTCTGGGTCCACAGTCACCACATTGTGGCCTTAGCTTACCATTTTCCAGGCTCCCTGAACCTGGTGGTGGACCGATTAGCTTCTCCCAAGAAGATTCTGCTCATAGAGTGGTCCCTTGATCCACAGGTCTTTAGGTGGGTGTGTTCTCAGCTAGGGACACTTCATATATGCCTTTGCCACCCAATAATTCTGTGGGTGGTCACATTCTGTCAAGATTGGAGGAGTCTTTACATCTATGCTTACTCTCCTATTCGATTCCTCTCCAGAGTGCTATCCTTATTCCATTGTGTCTCGTTCTACTGGTGGCTCCATCTTGGCGATGTAACCATTGTTCCCACTGCTCTGCTCCTTACTTGTACAACCTCCCCTAGCCTAACCTCTGTTTTGGTCCCATTCTGTCGACTTCGTTCAGACATTGTTCATCCAGATGTTACCACTCTCTGTCTCCATGCCTGCCTTTTGTCAGTTCTATTGTCTCAGCCCAAAAACTGTCTCCACATGTTGCATCTTTCCTTTCCCGATCCATTATACATTCTTCCATGTCCATTTACCACAGGTAATTGTATACCTTCCATCTTTGGTCTCTTTGACATGGTTTCCATTTTTCCCACCCTTCTTTTGATCATCTTTTCCTATTCTTCACCTGGTTGTTTGACAAAGGTTTGTCCACTTTGACCATGTCTAGCTACTGGGCGGCCTTGTTCAATACTTTCCATTAATCAAGGTTTTGCCTATGTTTGTCTTCTCCTGTCATTTCCCTTTGGAAGGACTGGTCAGAATATAGTATGACATAAGGAGAATGGTAAAGGAAGTGAGTAACATTAAAGGCAGAAATATCTGATCAATGATGTCTGCAAGCAAGGAGAAGGAAACAGGTCTTGAGGGAGATATGAAAGATGGAACATGAAGACAAAGGTTCAAAGTGAGGAACGGGAAAGGAAAAGGGCCACAATGAGATCCAAATCAGGCAAATCAAATGAATGTGGGGGATGACGCATGACTCAAAAGGAGCCGAAAAGGCCCTCAGACTTATGCTGTCAGTGAAGGCTGTTTGACTTTCACCTCCATTTCTTTATCTTCTATCTCCCACCTGTACTCCAATTCCGATCCTGATTGGCTTCTTTGTCCTGTTTGCTCCTTACAGTGTTATGTGGCATGTCTTGCCTCCTTTCAGGGTTTAAGTTCCTGACTTTTATTCCCTGGAACCATTTCCCGTGATCTATCCTCTGTCACATTAACTAGATAGGTTTGTCAACTCCTTAGGTTGGAAAGTCATCATCTCCACTACATTTCTTCTCATCATATCACCATATCTGTGGCTTCTCGCCTTTGCTTTCCATTGGAGTAGATCGTCCAAGCTGGAATGTGGACTACTCCCATTACCTTCGTCACTCATTACCTGAACGATCTGATTGTATCTTCCTCTGGTGGATTTTGTCTCCCTCCCGTGGTGATTCTACACGTCCTTTCACCTTTGAGTGGGTTCAGTCTTACCATTTCATTTCATTTAGGTTTTAATTTTCAACAACCCTTATTTTAACTACTGATATTAGGATCTCACTCTATGGTGGGTGTTCCCTGTTTAAGTATGCTTTGCCTCAAACCCACAATATTTACTGATGGCGCTATAATGCTCATTGTAGAGATGGGGTGTTTCCACATACTGGCATACCCAGTGGTATGTATATATGTTTTAGATATCAGTAAGTTTCACTCAATGGTGGACCATCACTCATGGACTTCATGAGTAAAGCAGAAGGGGATTTCTGCCCATCCCTGCCAACCCTTTGACTGAATTAATTGGGGCCAGTCTGCTTTTCAAAATAGGGAATTGAGGACACCCATTGCACTCTCTCTGGTGTAAGGATCCTCCAGATTCCCCACCACATTTATTCTTCCCCCATCCCCTTTTTTTT